TTTATTTTTCTGAGACAGGGTTTCTCTGTAGCTTTGGTGCCCGTCCCGGAACTAGCTCTTGTAGACCAGGCTGGCCTCAAACTCCCAAAGATCCGCCTGCCTCTGCCTCCCGAGTGCTGGGATTAAAGGCGTGCGCCACCACCGCCCGGCTTATATATGTATTTCTGGTCTTGTTTATTGTGTTTGTTCAGATCATTTAAAGATGTAATGTATAGTTAAGAAATACAGATTATTAGATAGTCATCTGCAATAATCAAACTTTTAATTACATTACTTAGGTGTCCTAGATATATTGAGATATATTTCAGTTGGATAACTAATCTTCAACACGTCAAAGGCCTACAGAATATGGCATTTTTTTAATATTTATTTATTATGTATACAATATTCTGTCTGCGTGTATTCCTACAGGCCAGAAGAGGGCACCAGACCTCATTACAGATGGTTGTGAGCCACCATGTGGTTGCTGGGAATTGAACTCAGGACCTTTGGAAGAGCAGGCAATGTTCTTAACCGCTGAGCCATCTCTCCAGCCCCCCAGAATATGGCATTTAAAATGGTTTAAGAACTTAAACTTTTTTCAGCAGTGAGACCTGTCTGCTTCTGGCAGCACCAATTACTTCAGAGAGGTTGATGGGCATTGAAGAAATTCATTATGGAATTTATGACAAGGCTAGCCATTTGGGCAAGAAACTGCTCTTGTCTGGACTGATCACAATATACTGTATAAACCGGACATGCTTAGACCCCTAAAATGACCACTAAACTTGCCAAAACAAGATGGGACAGCACTTCAGAGTTCCTGCTTCAGAGAATAAACTGCCAGACATTCGGCAGGACACCAAAGAAAGTGACTGACACACTGCAATATAGGCAAAACGGTTGATCTTTCAAATTTCCTGCTTCCTGGAAAAGTCTGCCAGATACTATGGGCCAGTAGGCTGAAGATGAATGCCCCAACGTTACAGAAGAACTTTGGGTGACTGTCCAGGCAGTGAGATGTTTCTGTCAAATCTAGAGTTTTGAAAGTTGCTTACAAGGCACTTTCTGTTTATTTAGGTAATATTATATCCTTCTGGGGTCTTTGATGGAGTTGAAGACAGATAATTATAGTTTTCCTTAGTTATGATAAAAGATAAATTAGATATGAAATTTTAGACTCACAAAGATAAAATAGCTGATAGGATATTTTCTTTAATTTTCCAAATACAAATAGACTAAATATTGTAAGTGTAATTCTTGCTTGATACCTGGTTTGTTATGCATAGTTTTACTATGTTAAAGTTAAAAGTTTCCTTATTATTTAGACGAAAAAGGGAGGTGATGTGAGATCCTCTCTGTATGCTGTGAATATGTTTTATTAGCACTGGTTAATAAAGAATCTGCTTTGGCCTATGGCAGGGCAGAATATAGCAAGGCAGGAAATCCAACAGAGTTAGAGGAGGAAAGAAGGCGGAGTCAGAGAGATTCCATGTAGCTGCTGGAGGAGAAAGACCCCAGAAACTTACCAGTAAGCCACAGCCTCATGGCGGCACACAGAGTAATAGAATGGGATAATTTAAGATGTAATAGCTGGCTAGGAATATGCTTGAGTCATTGTCCAAACAGTGTCGTAATTAATATAATTTTGTGTGATTATTCAGGTCTGGGTGGCCAGGAAATGAACGTGCAGTCTCTGTTTCCACATTTTAGCCAGGTCACACTAGCTAATGGTGACCTAGAATGGACACATTCCTCTCTCTAATCTAACCCAGCAGACAGTCTGTGGATCCCAGTGAAAATTAAAGTATGGATTTTTTTTTAAGAAATTATGAGGGGGGCTGGAGAGATGGCTCAGTGGTTAAGAGCATTGCCTGCTCTTCCAAAGGTCCTGAGTTCAATTCCCAGCAACCACATGGTGGCTCACAACCATCTGTAATGAGGTCTGGTGCCCTCTTCTGGCCTGCAGACATACACACAGACAGAATATTGTATACATAATAAATAAATAAATAAATATTAAAAAAAAAAGAAATTATGAGGGATTTCAATACTGGAGCTGGAGAAATGGCCCAGTGGTTAAGAGCGCTCTAAGAGCACTGGTTGCTCTTATAGAGGTCCTGAGTCCAATTCCCAGCACCCACATGGTGGCTCGAGACAGTGACAGCAGAGCCTTAAACAAATCCCAGGGCTCACTCATGGGTCCCCATGGTTGTACTATTTCCGCAGCCATCGCCTTGAAAACCCCTCCCCTGGAGATCTCCCTCAAACATCACCTCCTCTAAGAGGTCTCCCTTCCCTGCTCCTTGTCCCAAACTATACTTTCTTGCCGAGAGGGAAAGAATTTTGTGGTATGAAGCAGAGGGAACCTGGACTTACTACGAGGACCAGTGACCCTCAGCTGGAGGGCAGGAAGGACAGCAAAGTGGGAGAAATGAAGGGGAGAAGCCTGGAATGGGAGAGTGCAGGTGCCGAGCACCTACAAGAGCAAGGAAACTGCAACTGATCCCGAAGGGTCTCCTAGAGCCAGCAATGCGCATGCACTCAGAACTGACGCCGGGCTCAGGGGATGCATGGGGACCTGCCGTCTTGTTCTTCCCAGGGACCCCAGAGTGGGCTGCAAAGCTCCCCGAGCCTTCGAAAGGAGGACCCAGAATTGTATCTTACATGACATTGGAGGTGTCTTCTTCTAAGTAGTTGACTAAGTTGCGTCTTGTGGAGAGCGGGAGGCCTTTGGTAGCCATAGACCGGTTAGTAAACTTGGGGTTCGGACAGGGCTTCAGCAGTTTGTCAACCACATTTGTATTTTTGAGGGTTTCCTTCTTCTTCGGTACAGCCTCCTCCCCACCTCCCACTTTACAGAACACCCCTGTTGCCATCTGGTGTGGGTGGGATCGGAGCTGTCACCACCATGCAGGACAACCAGCTGACAGGAAGCAGAGAGAAACTGAGGCAAAGGTCCCACCCTTAGTTTGGGTGGGATGGGTGTGCTGTGAGCTGACTTCACAATCATCACAGAGTGTAACAATTAGGGGCCAGCCTGCCCTTGATGTGAGGTTTCCTGTGCAGCTGGACAGACCCAAAGTCTGTGTCAGGGGTGAGGTAGAGCCAGGAAACAAACTTCACAGCCTCTTCTGGCACATGCAGGGCCCCTCTGGCCACAGTCGCTCTGTCCTCTGAGGACTTCAAAAGGCTTAACACCTGTGCCCTTTAGAGCTGTCCTGGAAGGAGGAACAGGTTAGTGACAGAGAAACACCACCTGGGCTGAGCCAAGGAGCCTTTGAAGAGGAAGACTTTGCCCACCCATGCTAAGGCTCTTTCTCCTGGTATAAGCAGTAAATACCACTGTGGCTGGTAGCCTAGGCACAGGGAAAGCTTGCTGTGGGTTGTAGCTCACAGAGTAGCTGGTTTTAATGCTAGAATACCAAACATCTTGAAAGGCTCAGAGACAATGGTGAGCATGGGGAAATATTTCTAAAAACGGGCCAGACTTCTCTTCTACGGAGAGAGCCCGAGTGCAGATAGAAAGCACATCCGCAGCCGGGTGGTGGTGGCACACGTCTTTAGTTCCAGCACTCGGGAGGCAGAGGCAAGTGGATCTTTGAGTTCGAGGCCAGCCAGGTCTGCAGAGAGAGTTCCAGGACAGCTAGGGCTACATAGACAAACCCTGTCTCAAATAACAAAAAAAGAACACACCCACAACTTCCGGGGAAGGAAGAGAGGAAGTTCAATAGTGCCGACTTTGCTGTTAGATGTGGACTTGAAATTCAGTTCTGCGCTTATTAGCTGTGTAACTCCGAGAATAGAAGTCTTACTGAGTCCCAACTCCTTCAGCTACAAAATACAGAGGGAGACAGAACCGCACTCACAGGTTTATGCCTTATATTTTCCACTGGATATAGAAAGAACATTTCGAAATAGTAAACTTTATTTTATATGTTCTAAATAATCAAGCATTCCCCTACTCCCATTAAAATCTTTGGAAAATGCCAGGTGTCAGGAGTTGGAGGCAGAAGCAGGCAGATCTCTGAGTTTGCAGCCAGCCTGGTCTACAGAGTGAGTTCCAAGGCAGCCAGGGCTGCTACACAGAGAAACCCTGGTTCAAAAACAAAAACCTGCATAAAATATAGGGTTAGAGCCGGGCGGTGGTGGCACACGCCTTTAATCCCAGCACTCGGTAGGCAGAGGCAGGCGGATCTCTGTGAGTTTGAGACCAGCCTGGTCTATAAGAGCTAGTTCCAGGACAGGCTCCAAAACCACAGAGAAACCCTGTCTCGAAAAACAAAACAAAAGAAAAGGGTTAGAGAAATGACCTAGCAGTTCGGAGCACCGGTTGCTCTTCTGGAGGACCAGGGTTTACATCCCAGCACCCACACCATGGCTTACAACCATCTATAACTCCAGTCCAAGGGAATCTGATTCCCTCTTTTAGCCTCCTTGGGCCAGTCATGCAAGCGGTACACAGACATTCATGCAGGCAAAACACCTGATAAGAGATAAAACTTAAAGCAATTTCTTTTGTTTTAGGAACTCCAGGGGCGCGGGTGCTGTCTGTGAACTACGCGGGATCATACAATCTGAAATGGTGTGAATTGATTCCTTCTCGTCGTCTCCCATGAATCCTACCAGAAGGCAGGTGCGCTTCACTCAATAGGTAGGGTGAGAGTGTCCCTAGCGTTGCGAATGGTGGCTAGTACACAGGGGACTTCTCAGGAGGTGGTGGGGTGAGGGAGGGAGCAAAGGGAGAGAGAGATTGCGGGGAGAGAAGGGGGAGATAGAGTGTGTGTGTGTGTGTGTGTGTGTGTGTGTGTGTGTGTGTGTGTGTGTGTGTGTGTGTGTGTGTGTGTGTGTGTGTGTGTGTGTGTGTGTGTGTCTGAGGCTGGCTGGTAGCTGGCGCGGTTCACAAGGCCGCCGCGTTTTCCCGCTTGGTCGGCAGATGGCGCTGCAGGCTTGGGCCACAGAAGACGCGCCAGACGCGGAACCCGGAAGCGTCCGCCGGGAGGGGGCGGGCCCAGGTCGCTGGGGTCCCTCACCCGGACCAGCATCCTCTTCCCGCCCCCTCCTCCCGCACTGGCGCATCGGGACCCTTTCCAGAAGTGGAACCGAGGGACGCCAGAGTGTGTGTGTGGGGAGAACACTCGGTGGGCGCCCACGTGACAGACAGCCCCCGGGGCGTCCCGCATTTGCAGGGAATATGGGCGTGCTCAGGGCAGGTCTGTGCCCGGGCCTCACCGAGGAGATCGTCCAGCTTCTGAAGGGCCGAAGGATCAAGACAGGTGACCTCGTGGGCTCATAGCACACAACATGGGCACGACCGCAGGGATTGGCGGATTGGCTCCACGGTCTTGGCACTCGTACGGGGCGCTTCGCTTTTACAGGGGCCATACTCTGACCTTCTAGGGAGGCTGGGTTCACAGGAGCCAAGCCAGAAACAGGACTTTACTGTGTGCTGGGCTCCTCGCCGGGTCCTGCATCAGGGCCTGCGTGCTTGAGATTGGGAGTAGACTAAGACCTTAGTGCCAGGGCACGTCTTTAATCCCAGCACTCGGGAGGCAGCGGCAGGAGGATCTCTGTGAGTTCGAAGCCAGCCTGGTCTAAAAGAGCTAGTTCCAGGCTACAGGCTCCAAAGGCTACAGAGAAACCCTGTCTCGCAAAACAAAAACGAACAAAACAGGGCTGGAGAGATGGCTCAGAGGTTAAGAGCATTGACTGCTCTTCCAGAGGTCCTGAGTTCAATTCCCAGCAACCACATGCTGGCTCACAGCCATCTGCAATGAGATCTGGTGCCCTCTTCTGGCATGCAAGCATACATGGAAGGAATGTTGTATACATAATAAGTAAATAAATCTTTAAAAAAAAAAAACGAACAAACAAAACAAGACATTAACACCATTTCCCAAAAGGCAAGCGTGGCAAGGCTAAGCCTTTCTTGTTGCTAATCAGTTGCTCTTGGTCTCTTTCCAGTGGCGGACCTGGCAGCTGCTAACCTGGAGGAGGTAGCCCAGAAATGTAGTTTGTCCTACAAGGTGAGCTCACGGTGTGCAAGCTCCATCCCAATGCATCTTCTAGAGCGGGTCCCCAGCTAAAGGTGGGAGGCGGGGAACTCTAGACCTGGATTGCTCGGCGGGGCAAGCTGGTTGCTGGGCAGTCTGGCGTTCTGGAGCCTGAGTGTCCATCGTATTGGCAGGCCCTGGTTGCCCTGAGGAGGGTATTGCTGGCGCAGTTCTCGGCTTTCCCATTAAATGGAGCAGACCTCTATGAGGAACTGAAGACTTCCACTGCCATCCTGTCCACCGGCATTGGGAGGTTTGTATGCTTACCTGGGCAAGAAGATGAAAGCCGAGCCTCTCATGCTGAGACTACAACGGGCAGGCTGGTGAGGGCAGTCTGGAGTTGTCAAAGAACTTAGAGGCATCCAGACTCCAAAGAATTTTTTTTTTAATTTATTTATTATGTATACAGTATTCTGCCTCCATGCTATGCCCACATACCAGAAGAGGGCGCCAGATCTCATTACAGGTGGTTGTGAGCCACCATGTGGTTGCTGGGAATTGAACTCACGACCTCTGGAAGAGCAGCCAGTGAGTGCTCTTAACCAGTGAGCCATCTTTCCACCCCTCCAGAGTTCTTTTTCCTTAGAGTAAAAGGACAGAGATTCTTAGCCTCAGCACTATTGATGCTTGGGGCCAAGTAATTATTTACTGGGGTAGGGATATCCTGTACATTTAGCAATATCCCTGAGCTCTGCCCACCAGATGCCAAGATCACTTCCCCTGCACCTAGATTTAATAATCAAAAATATCTCCAGATATGACTCAGTATCTCCTGGGAGCCAACTTTTCCCAGTGAAGAGCCACTGTCCTATGACGCAAGATGTCACTAATATCCCATTTTTCAGTAGAGTCCCTGATACTTTGGGATAAGGCAAGTGAGATCAGGACAGGATTGTGATTTCCTGGGAGTCTGCACGTAAGGTCTGACCCTTTAACACAGTTCCTCATGGTGTGGTGACCTCTAACCATAGAATTATTTTCATTGCTACTTCGTAACTGTGAGTTGACTACTGTTATAAATTATAATGTAAATATCTGATATGTGACCTCTGCGAAAGGATTGTTCAATATCCCAGAGGAGTCAGGACCCACAGATTGAGCACCCCTGCCATAGGCTATAGCTGTTAGAGATTGTGGTTAGCCTAAGAGGAGGGGCCGGCAGAGGTGAGCCCAGGGATATATAATCCAGAGCCTGATGCCTTTACCATAGGAGGCAGTGGCCGGGAACATGCTCACTCTCTGAAAAGAGCAGTTACATTGTGCTCTGTTGTTTGGGTTGGGAAAGAATTGGAAGACAACTGGCATTTTCTGGCCAAGTGAGCCTGACCTCTCTCCTGGCCTGTTTGTGCGGAGTTTGATGAATAACACTGCCATCACAAAGGTCTTTGGATTGGTCTGGCCCTTGCTGTTTTCATAACACATTCTCTTGGCAAGGTTCGCGTAGTCTGGTGCTTGCTCTCGCTGGTTGGGGGTCTGTGTTTGTAATCCATCAAACATTGGCTGGGTTCCTACTGGGTGCCAGGCACATGCAGATGCTATCTGTACGAGTGGGGTGAGGCTCCCGCTCTTAAGAATGGTGGTTGGTGTATACGGGAGACTTGTGAGTGCCCCGAGGAGGCACACTGGCTTTGGAGCCCAGGGAACTTATAAAACTGGCATCCACAGAAGGAACAATGAGAAGGTACCCTGGCAGGATTACAGCAGCAGCCGTCATGGGGTGGGAGCTCAGGGTGGCACCGGTAGCCTTGGCATTGGCAGACCACAGCCACAGACTCACCTTGACCCTGACATTGTGTTTAGTGTTTAGCATTTCATGCATTCATGCATGCATTTCCATATTTCCATTTCCTTTTTTTTTTTTTTTTTTTTTGAGACAGAGTTTGTCTATATAGCTCTGGCTGTCCTGGAACTCACTCTGTAGACCAGGCTGGCCTCGAACTCACAGATTCGCCTGCCTCTACCTCCCGAGTGCTGGGATTAAAGGCATGCACCACCCACTGCTCAGCATGACAAATGCATTTCATCTGTCCTTCACAACCCCTAATGAGAGTTTGCTGCCCTTGAAATCATGAGTGTATGTGAGGAAATGGGGGTTCAGGTTCAGGGACCAACTCAAGATCTTGCAGCATGGTAGATTGGGCATTGGAGGTCATGTCTAAGGACTTAATTCTGGCTGGACTGTTCTCCAGTATGCCTGGAGGTGACATCTGTAGGCCATGGAGCAGAGATGTGCAGGGTGGACAGGCCAGCCCAAAGAGGTCCAGCAGGGATTTGGTGGTACTGGTATGGGCTGTGTGGAGCTGCTCCAGGGTTTGTGTCGGTGGAAGACACGTTGAAGGAGACATGTGACAAAAGACTTACTATCATATGGGGTAGGTGTGAAAAGGGGATTTGCTAGGTTTTCAGACTTCCCTACAATGCGCCATGCCTACATAGTGGATGTAGCTTTGAAACTCTGGAAGTAAGTCAAAGTTAATGAAATGTGTGTTAACTATGAACCATCAGCATCTTATTTAACCATTAAACAGGACTCTTGTTGTGGGTCTCGGAGTGCTGAGGGCGATGCAGATCTTTGCAGGGCAGTAGAGCATGTGGCACACCGTGGGAGATCTGTCGATGGGGGAGATTGGTTAGGCCTTGCGAGCCAGAGCTTCTGTCTGTTCATCTCTGTTGGAATAGGTTCTTCACGAAACAGAAGGCAAGCTGTCTGAACGACTGGAAGAGTAACTGATGGGACGTTCAGTGGGAAAGGTGGGGAGAAACCCCCACATTTAGGCAGCCCTGGTCGGAGTCCCTCCACATACATTCATAGACTCAGAGGTAACGGGGACATAACAGTAGGGCGCCCTACTCCAGAAGCGGAGGAGAAGCCAGGGATAGAAACACAGTGGGAAATGTCTAGGACGCAGGTTTGGGAGTACGTCATACAGGTGGAGCCTCGTAGTCTGGTACATGGTGGATTTTTTTTTTTTTTTGAGATTTTATTTTAGCTGGGTATGATGGTGCATACTTTTAATCCTAGCACTTGAGAGGCCGAGGTCAGTGGATTTCTGTGAGTTCAAGGACAGCCTAGTCTACAGAGTGAGTTCCAGAATAGCCATAGCTGCACAGAGAACCCCGTCTTGAAAAACCAAAAATAAATAAATAAAATTTAAAAGATAAATGTACACCACCACAGCTGGCTTTTTAAAGAGATTATTTTAGCTTAATAACTATGTATAGGTATCCGTGTGAGTGTGTGCACCTGTATGCAACACAGAAACTTCAGCCCCTGTCCTGGGCAGCACATGGAGGGTAGTAACCTGTTCCAGGTGGTTCAGGGGCTTAGGAAGTGGCCATGTTTTGAGGTTCATCTCGAGGTTTCCACAGCCAGAGTTTTGACAGTCAAGCCGCTCACTGTTCTTTTCATTTCTTCAGTAACATTTACTGTGTGCCTGCAGGGCGTTCAGCTCTGTGCTAACACTCAGAGACACAACAGGGATAAAGACCCAGTCTTTGCCCCCGGGGTGCTCCTACCAGATGAGGGAGGCAGACAAAAACAAGCAAATAAAAAATAATTACACACTCCCAGAATTAATAATCGAGTTTAGCAAGGTCTGGGGATACAAGATCAACACATAAAAATCAATTGCACTTCTCTGCACTCACAATGAACATGTGAAAACTGAAATTAAAAACACAATGCCATTTGCTGTCGCATCTAAGGAAATGAAATACGTGGGTCTAAGTCTGACAAAGCCCGTGTAGAATTTGTATGCTGGAAATGAAAAATGCCAATGAAGAAGATCAATGGTGACCCAAATAAATGGAGAGACTTTCCGTGTTCATAGGTTACAAGATTCTACATTAGTGAATGCCAACTTTCCCTGACCCCAACCCCCAATACTAGAGATCAAACTCAGGGGTTTGCATGTGATAAGCAAGTACTCTACCATCAAGCTATCTCCCCAAATATGTTTTTTCCTTTCTTTTCCTTTTTTTTTTTTTAAGTCAGGGTCTCATGTGGCCCCTGACCTCACAGAGGCCTGCCTTTGCCTCCCTGATGTTGGGATTAAAGGCATCTGTCACCATGCCCAATTTACTCCCCAAATTTATCTGCTTTTTAATAGTTTCTTCTCTCCTCTCTTTGCCCATCCCCGTTCTCTCCTCTTCCACCATCAGCCTGGACAAACTACTTGATGCTGGCCTCTATACTGGAGAGGTGACTGAAATTGCGGGCGGCCCAGGTAGCGGAAAAACCCAGGTACCCTTGGGACCAGCAGCAGGGAGGGTTGGGGGAGGTGGGTGCATTGGCCTGGATTCCTTGGGGAGTTCTTGCGGATGACCCTGTGGGTTGCAAGGTCAGAACAGACCAGATGGGCACTGAGAGCGGACGTGGCCTTGGCCAGTGTATGTTGTTGGAATCTGGGCAGGCTATGGTGGAGAAGCTGCCTTCCAAGGGCTTAGGTTTACCCAGCACCCCATCTTGTCTCTGAAGGTATGTCTCTGTGTGGCTGCAAATGTGGCCCACAGCCTGCAGCAGAATGTACTGTACGTCGATTCCAATGGAGGAATGACAGCGTCCCGCCTCCTCCAGCTGCTACAGGCTAGAACCCAAGACGAGGAGAAACAGGTAGGGGGCAAGATGGCTGGGTTCCTTTAAAATCTCGATGCTAGAAGACTCCATGACTCTTTACACCATCTGTAAGAACCATCATTTCTTGCTTTGAAACTGGAGAGTCCTCTGCTTTCCTAGAGCTGCTCGTGTTAATGTCATCATCCCAGCTTGGATGCCACCCACACTGATTCTCCAGGAACTTCCAAGTCCTCGAATACCGTAAATCAGAGCCAGCAAAGCCCTGCATCTGTGTTTCCAGCCCATTTCTTGCCAGGGCAGGCATCACTAATCAATCATATCTGTCCTTCCCGCTGAATTCTGAATGTCCTACAGCTCAGTGCCCAGGTATCACCACTGTAAGATCCAGCCCATTAGGCAAAACCCATTTGCCATTCTGGCTGCCAGCACTGTGTCTAAGTGCCTCTTTGCCTTCTCAGCTTTATGATTGCTCTTTATTGCAAGTCCCTGCTTCTCTTTCCCACCCCGCAGGCAGGTGCTCTCCGGAGGATACAGGTGGCGCATGTGTTTGACATCTTCAGGATGCTGGATATGCTGCAGGACCTACGGGGCGCCATGGCCCAGCAGGTGAGCCTGTTTCTGCTTCACCCAACGGGCCAGGTGTTGTCTGTTTTGAGGCACGTGTCCTACCACTGACGCTGTTTGGAATACCTGTGTCCAGTGTAACAGCCCAGCTGTGTTTGCCTCTCCCTCCCTCCACCCCTGCCTGCCCGCGCCCCAGGTGGAATTCCGTGCAGCTTAATTCACAATTCATCTGCTTCATTGTTTACAGGATACCAGCCCTGTACAACAGTGAGCTCCTTGAGTAGAGGATTATATAGTCTTCACCTCTGCATTACTCACTGAAATCAGTTAGGAAACTATGCGTGTGGGGGGTCTTGCTAGGTACCCTGCCTGGTTGGGAATTTACAGAGATTCCTCCTGCCCTGTCTCTTGAATGCTGAGATTAAAGATAATGCTTCAGAACATCTGGCTAGGAGACTTGACTCTTGAGACAATCTGATTATCTTTAGTGATACTGAAGGCTGGCATTGAGTCCTGTGTCTGATTCTCTAGCTCTTTGCCTCAAAATCGCCACTACAGCAAGTGGCTGCTGTAGCCCCAAGCATTTTGTCCACAGCCACATGTGCTCCATATTCAAGCAAGGTGAGCGATAGATGATTTTTTATTATCTCTTCCCTTTTATTAAGACAAAAATGTAGCTGGGCAGTGGTGATATACACCTTTAATCCCAGAAATTGGGAGGCAGAGGCAGATGGATCTCTGAGTTCGAGGCCAGCCTGGTCTACAGAGTGAGTTCCAGGACAGCCAGGGCTACACAGAGAAACCCTGTCTTGAAAAACCCAACAAAAAAAGAAAAAGGTTACTACTCTAGGACCACTAGCAGATTAGATCCCCAGTGTCACCAAAAAGAAAACAAAAAATTATGTATTTATTTGTGTGTATGTGTGTGCATGTGCACATACAGTCATAACATAACACTTGGAGTCAGTGGATACCTTGCAGAAGTTAGTTCGTTCCTTCCACCATGTGGATCCTGAGACTCGAACTTGGGCTGTAAGGATTGGCAGCAAGGGCCTTTATCCCTCTTCTTACATTTAGTTAGCCAGGTTGGTTTGGTTTTTTGGTTTTTCAAGACAGGGTTTCTCAGTGTAGCCCTGGATGTTCTGGAACTGTAGAGCAGGCTAGCCTTGAACTCACAGAGATCCACCTGCCTCTGCCTCTGCCTCCCGAGTGCTGGAATTAAAGACGCGTGCTGCCAATACAGGTTTGTTTTTTTAGTTGTGATGATACGGATCTGGTGAGGAAGTTTCATGGACAAAGGCCCTTGCTGCCAATCCTTACAGCCCAAGTTCGAGTCTCAGGATCCACATGGTGGAAGGAAAGAACTAACTTCTGCAAGTTATCCACTGACTCCAAGTGCCGTGTCATGACTACATGTGTGCGCACACACACACACACAAATAAATACGTAAATAAATATTTTTTGTGACACTAGGGATCTAATCCAGGCCTATACCCATTAGGCAAACGCTGCCACTGAGGTATCCCTCCAGTCGTAGCCAAAAGCAAATCATCTCTATACCGGGCGATGGTGGCGCACGCCTTTAATCCCAGCACTCGGGAGGCAGAGGCAGGCGGATCTCTGTGAGTTCGAGACCAGCCTGGTCTACAGAGCTAGTCCCAGGACAGGCTCCAAAGCCACAGAGAAACCCTGTCTCGAAAAACCAAAAAAAAAAAAAAAAAATCATCTCTATACGTATCTAGAACTGGGGGCTGGGCCCATCCTCACTGATGTCAGGAGATTTCTACCCAGTACCTGAACATGTTCAGACTAATGTTTATAAGGAAGGGAGAAGGAGATTTTGAATGGCTCTTGACTTGTTTTTTTTTTTTTTTAAGTTTTAAAAATTGTATTCTGTGTGTATGAATGTATATCCATGGCGTGCTTGCCTGGTGCCCTTGGAGGCAAGAAGAGGACATTTAATTCCCCTGGAACTTAGTTACAGAAAGTTATGAGCCCTCTTGCGGCTGCTGGAATCAAACCCAGATCCTCGGCAAAAGCAGCAAAGGGCTTGCTCTGCCGTTTAGCTGGATAGAGCTGAGAAGTGCCTAAGACGGTTGGTTTTGTTTGTTTGTTTGTTTGTTTTACTTATTTGTATTTTACATACATTGATGTTCTGCCTGCATCTCTATCTGTGTGAGATGGATCTGCTGGATCCCCTGGAATAAGAGTTACAGGCAATTGTGAGCTGCCATGTGGGTGCTGGGAACTGGACCCTGGTCCTCTGGAAAAGCAACCAATGCTTCCAACCGCTGAGCCATCTCTTTAGCCCCAAGCTGGTTGGTTTTAACTTCTCACATTTCTGCCATCCTCTTAGACACATTGGTAACAGGTTAGGAGTCAGAGGCCGGAAGGCTGGAACTGAGACACACAAAAGGCAGAGCAGAAATGCCAAATAGTCAAGGCTTGGCCAGTGGGCAGTGGAAACAATACATGTAAGCAGAATCAGGATCTGAGAAGTAAGGGAGAGAAGAAAGGAAGCATGGAAGACAGCTTAGATCTACAGACGCTAGGATCATGCTCACATGTGTGTAAAGAAACCAGATAATAGTGTGAGAAATGGCATCTGGTTCTTAGAGAAACAACGGTCTTTATTTGTTGTTTGTTTTTTGAAACAGGGTTTCTCTGTGTAGCCCTGGCCGTTCTGGAACTCGCCCTGTAGACCAGGCTTGCGCACACCCCCCTCCCTCCCAGTCCTGGGGTTAAAGGTGTGCACCACCACAGCCCCACTGAAACAGTTGTCTTTATTTGGAACCATGGTAGCTATGGGAGAGGAGGGCTTAGGAGGTAAACTCTAGGAGATGGAAACGTGAATAAGACTAAGGGGCTGAGGATGTAGCTCAGGTAGAGTGCATTCCCAGCATGCCCCAGACCCTGGGTGCCTTAGTGGAGAGCTAACTCTTCGGCAAATAAAGCAAATCCTGGGGATTTGAAGTGAAACTGAGCAGCAGTGAGGGGATTCTGAAGAGGAGAGGGGGCTAACAGGCTGGGTGTGAGATTGCCACTGGAATCTGCATGGGGTTCCCAAATGAGAGCTTATGGTGTCCTGTGGCTTAAGCCATCCCTGTCTTCTAAATCCTCAGTGGAGTCTGTTATGCTTTTGAATGGGTCGGGGAGGTGCTTCAGTGAGGCCTGTACAGCCAGATTTGGGGTAAGAAAGGTTGTTTATGACTGTCTTCTTTTTTTAAAAAAAAAAAAAAGATTAAACTTCATTTTTTCAGTTGTGTGTGTATGTACACACATGTACAACTGTGAGCACATGCATGCCACCCTGCGTGTGTATAGGGGGGTGGGGGTCAGAGAGGCCAACTCTGTGGAGTTGGTTCTCTCCTTCCGTCTTTACTTGGGTTCCAGGGATCAAACTTGATCTGCCAGGCTTGTGCAGCAATCACCTTTATCTGCTGAGCCATCTCGCTGGCCTCCCTCTTCTAGTAGAGCGCTTGCCCCGGGCGTCCCCTAGAGGTCACTGGTCCACCACTGCTTTTCCCATCCCAGCAGGCGACAGCTTCTTCAGGCACTGTGAAGGTCGTGATTGTGGATTCTGTCACCGCAGTGGTCACCCCACTTCTGGGAGGTCAGCAGAGGGAAGGTAAGTAGCGAGGGGGAACCTGGGGACAGGGTGGAGACTTCACCTCCCTGCCCTGGCCTTTTGCTCTCTGCTGCCCCTCTCCTTTGCTCCTCCCCCAGGCCTGGCCTTGATGATGCAGCTGGCCCGAGAGCTCAAGATCCTGGCCCGGGACCTGGGTGTGGCAGTGGTGGTGAGGAGACTTTTCCTATGAACATGGTTTCTAGGTGTAGCTAGGCTAGCTTTCTGTTTCTCTTAAATGTCAGCTTGAAACTATAATAGTCCTTAAGGCAGAGGCCAGAGTGCAGAGCTCAGCTTCCACAGGTCAGAGGGGTTTGGACTAGGGACTATCTTGTTTTGGGGGTCTTTTTATTTGTTTGTTTGGTTGGTTGGTTGATTGGTTTTTCAAGACAGGATTTCTTTGTATAACCTTGGCTATCCTGAAACTCATTCTGTAGACTAGGCTAGCTGCAAACTCAGTGATCCGCCTGCCTCTGCTTTCTCCTGCTGGGATTAAAGGCATGCGCCGCCAGCACCTGGCTCTTGCTCTGTGTCTCTATAACCTATTTCATTGTTACTGGTGTATATGTGCTCATGCTCAGAAGAGGACAGGCATGTGTGTGCCATGGCACACGTGGGGAGGTCAGAGGACAATTTTTAGGAGTCAGTTCTCTCCTTCCACCTTGGTTTTGAGATGAATCTTATCTCTGCCATTTCACTTCTGGTCTGACTGATTGTCCTTGTCTCTGCTTCTAACGGTCTCCGTAGGATGCCAGGACTGGGATTGCAGATGCAAACCACTAGCGTTTTTACCTGGTACTAGGATCACACTCGGGCATCCAGACTTTCCAGGAAAGCACTTTTTCCTGCTGAGCCATCTTTCCAGCTCCATTCTTTCTAAGTTGTATTATTGAAGTAAATCTAAAGAGTGAACTTTCTCTCTATAGGATGTGCTATCTCCTTACCCTGTCAAGTTCTCAGTCCCAGGCACATTGGGTGGCTCTCAACTCTAGCTCCAGGGGAATCTGACCACCACTGGCATCAGCACTCCCAGCATACACATACACCTTTAGTCTGGGAGGCAGAGGCAGATGGCTCTCTGAGTTCAAGGCTAGCCTGGTCTACAGAGTGAGTTCTAGGACAGCTAGGACTACACAGAGAAACCTTGTCTCAAAAATAAATAAATAAATAAACAAATGAATAAACAAATAAATGGATGGATGGATAGATAGATAGATAGATAGGATAAAGGCAGAGGTGGACAAGCTGTTTAAAACACTGGCCGTTCTTTCATAGGACCTAGGTTCGATTCCCAGCACAAACATGGCAGCTCACAACCCCCAGTAGCTCCAGTCTCCGAGGATCTAACACCCTCTTCTGGCCTTCATGGGTACAAGGCATGCATGTAGTGAATAGATATACATGCAGACAAAACCCCACACACTTTAAAAACAAAATAATAATGACAAATCTTTATTTTTAAAAAGTGTTTACTGGCCGGGTGGTGGCGCCGCACCCCTTTAATCCCAGCACTTGGGAGGCAGAGGCAGGCGGATCTCTGTGAGTTCGAGACCAGCCTGGTCTACAAGAGCTAGTTCCAGGACAGGTTCCAAAACCACAGAGAAACCCTGTCTCAAAAAAACCAAAAAAAAAAAAAAGTGTTTACTGTTTTTTCTTTTGTGCCTTGTTTTGTTTTGAGGGGCTCAAACATTTTGTTTAAATATTGAATGGGGGGGGGGGGGGCTGGAGAGATGGCTCAGTGGTTAAGAGCATTGTCTGCTCTTCCAAAGGTCCTGAGTTCAGTTCCCAGCAACCACATGGTGGCTCACAACTATCTGTAATGAGATCTGGTGCCCTCTTCTGGCCTGCAGGCAGACACAATACTGTATCCATATAAATAAATAAATATTAAAAAAAATATTGAATGGTAGGAAAGGGGCTGAAGAAATCCATGAGATGTGATGTCATCAGCAGGGCCTCCCTCTTTTTTTTCTAATTTAAATTTATTTTATATGCATTGGTGTGAAGGTGTCAGAGCCCCAAGAACTGGAGTTACCATGAGCTGCCGTGTAGGTGCTGGAAACTGAACCTCCTCTAGAAGAGCAGCCAGTGCTCTTAACTGTTGAGCCTTCTCTCCGGCCCATCCCCCAGCACCCTCTTCCCCCACTTCCTCATTCTCCCCCACAAACCCCTTGGGTCCCTTTCATGATAAAAGTGTTTCTTTTCTTTTGAAGAAAGTCCTATGTTGCCCATACTGTCTTTGAACTCATTATCTGAGGCTGGCCTTGAACTTCTGAACCTTCTGCCTCCCCTTCCCAAGTGTTGGAATTACAGGCGTTACCCCCACAATTAGCACTGTAATTTTATTACAGAATAAAAGCAGTAATTATTTAAACACTCCATGATTAGGAATTGGGAAAATCATTATAGGATAGAAGAGTTTGGGCCATCTGGCCCAAGAATTATTCTAGTAAATCAAGTATGTTTGTCTTTAACAGGGTTTCACCTTGTAGCCCAGGCCAGCCTTGAACCCATAGACTCCTCCTGTCTCAGCCTCCAGGACTGGGATTGCAGGCATGTGCCCTCATGCCCTCCTTAAAAATGGCCATCGTAGTGCCGGGCGATGGTGGCGCACGCCTTTAATCCCAGCACTCGAGAGGCAGAGGCAGGCAGATCTCTGGGAGTTCGAGGCCAGCCTGGTCTATAAAAGCTAGTTCCGGGACAGGCACCAAAAGCTACAGAGAAACCCTGTCTCGAAAAACCAAAAAAAAAAAAAAAAAAAAAAAAATGGCCATCGTAAAGAATCTGCATCAAGCCGGGCGATGGTGGCACATGCCTTTAATCCCAGCACTCGGGAGGCAGAGGCAGGAGGATCTCTGTGAGTTCGAGACCAGCCTGGTCTACAGAGCTAGTTCCAGGACAGACTCCAAAGCCACAGAGAAACCCTGTCTCGAAAAACCAAAAAAAAAAAAAAAAAAAGAATCTGCATCATGAACTAGGTACAGTGACTCATGCTTTGCTCTTTGAACTCAGAGGCTGCAGCAGGAGGATCTCAAATTCAAGGATATTTTGGGATACATAATGAAATTCTGTCTTAATAAAACAAAACAGAAAAAGATGATAATCGTTAGGTCCCAAACCTGGAACAAATGGATGAGATGCCTAACATATCAAAGCAAATTCTGGCTGCCAGGTTCTCCCAGCATCCCTCAGTTCCTACCTGTTACAGGGTTCTCCTGGCTGGCATACCCTGCCCCTTACCCTGAACTCTCCAGCCCGGGGCCGGGGCTGTCCCTTCCCTCAGCTTGTCTGGACCCTATATGACTCAGCCATTTTGGCTTCGCCGGTCTCTTGGCACAGGCTGCCTCTCTTGGTCAGTGGCTCCTTTCTTGCTTTCCCTCCCCCCTCTCCTCACATGGCCCTGCTCAGTCTGCTGGTCATGTTCACTCTGGACCCTTCCAGATGCCTCTGGCTGCTTTCTCCCTTATTATCTACAATAAACCTCCTCACCCCATACCTAGGAGCAGTCATGTTCTTCCTTTTTATTTCTTTTATTTTATTCAATAATGCAAATAGAAAAAAGGATCTGTGTAAGAATGCAGAAAATAATGGCCTGAGATGTTAATTTTTTGGTTTTTATTTTTTGTTTGTTTTTCGAGATAGGGTTTCTCTAGCTTTCAAACCTTTCCTGGAACTAGCTCTTGTAGACCAGACTGGCCTCGAACTCACAGAAATCCACCTGCCTCTGCCTTCCGAGCGCTGGGATTAAAGCCGTGCACCACCACCACCCAGCTGGTTTTGATTTTTTTAAGACAGGGTGTCTCTGTGTAGCCCTGGCTGTCTTGGAACTCGCTCTGTAGTCAAGCCTGGCCTTGAACTCACAGAGATCACCTACTCTGGTCTCCTAAATGCTGGGATTAAAGGAGTGTACCACCACTGCCCAGCTATAAAAATAAAATCTTAAAAAAAATTGTCTAAAACTGTAAGAATATATGCAAAAGAAAAAGACTTTACAGGGATAGACTATCAGTGTGGTTCCTCGGGTGTAAAGATTGATAACAACTTGAGTCTTATATTTAGCTCTTTAATCTTTTTATGAAAAGTATGCAGACTTAAAAAAGTGCTTCCTGAGCTTGGAAAAGAAAACTAACAGCAAAGATCTGTCTGTAATAACCTCTAGGGAGGGGAGACTATTAGGACAGGAAGCAGCTCAGTGCAAGAACAGAAGTCGGTCCTCTGCAGGAGCAGCATGTGCTCTTAGCTGGTGACCACGCTCCAGCCCTTACAGCTAGCACTCCTGTGCATAACTCTGTACATTGTATTTCCTGCCTTTTTTTGTTTTGAGATAGGTTCTCTCTACATAGCCCTGGCTGTTTTGGAACTCCCTTTGTAAACTAGGCTGGCCTTGAACTCACAGAGATCCACCTGCTTCTGCCTCCTGAGTGCTGGGGTTAGAGGAGTGTAATTATTGAAACTTTTATGTGTTTTACACTAGGCTGCTCAGGCTGGCCTCAAACTCCTAGATTGAAGTAGCAGTCCTACTTGAACATCCTGAGGGACTGTAACTACGGACATGCATCACCACACTGAACTGCATGTGTTTTAAATAGGTCATCTCCCATTTTTGAGGAAATAATATACTAATCTGTGCACCTGCAGGCAGTGTGAAAGACTGTTTCCCTGCTCTTTTGTTCAAGTTCGAGGTCCTGGACCTTCCTCTCCTGGCTTCTGGATGTTTGTGGGTGCGTGGCTATAGGGAAGGAATCATAGTCAATGTGTCTGGCTTGCTTAAAACTCGTCCCAGAGAGACGGGCGGTGGTGGCGTACACCTTTAATCCCAGCTCTCGGGAGGCAGAGACAAGTGGATCTCTGTGAGTTCAAGACCAGCCTGCTTGGTCTACAGAGCGAGTTCCAGGGCAGTTGCCAAGGGGAAAAAAAAATTAGTCCCAAAGTGGGACTCCCCTCACCCCAGCAGACACACTCCAGATGCCAAGGATTGAGTGCACTGGTCTCAGGATACCTTTGGCAGACCCAAACCCAGCAATGGCTCCTCTACAGGAGAGAATGACTAAAGGTGCCCCTGGCTTTGTGTCAGACCCAAAGCACCGGGACTTTGTGGGAAGCTGGGTGTGGATCAGGAGCCCTGGGTTGTAGCTCTAGATTCAGCTGTAAGTTATACCGCCCGGGAGAGTCAGAGATCTCAGATTTCTTGTCTGTATAATGAGGCGGTAGGGCAGGTGTCCTCTGCACTGCCATCATGGATCTCTGTCCCTTCCTGCAGGTGACCAACCACTTGACCCGAGACAGAGATGGAAGGAGGTTCAAACCTGCTCTGGGACGCTCCTGGAGCTTTGTGCCCAGTACCCGAATTCTCCTGGATGTCCTTGAAGGGGCTGGAACATTAGGTAGTAGCCAACGCACAGTGTGTCTGACCAAGTCTCCTCGCCAGGTGAGCCAGCCCAGGGGATGCCAAGGATCTTGGGCCCTGGAGAGGGTGGTTTCCACGCCCACTGGTATCTTCCTGAAGGATTCTTTGATGCCAAAACCCTGAAGCAAAAGCTGGCCACTTAAGATTGCTTGATTCTATCGCTCCCTCTCTCCTATCTCTCCTTCCAGCCCACAGGTCTGCAGGAGGTGATAGACATTGGGACTCTGGGGACTGAGGAGCAGAGCCCAGAACTGCCTGCCGAACAGACCTGACACTGTTGATTGGACAGCGTTCTTGCCCGTCAGCTGCTGGTCACTGCCACTAGGGACCTGGCAGTGTGGGTGTCAGGCTTGTCGGAGACAAGCTTCAGTTTCCTCAGCTTCACTCTGTGGGATCTCACGGAGCCACTGGCCAGAGGACGTGGCAGTGGGGAACTGGGGGGGATGGGCCTAGAAGTCCATCGTGGGCTCAAGTTTTCTTCCTTTGTGTCCACCATTTGTCTCTAGTGGGGGTTGAGGTCAGCCTAGCTTGGGGCGTCTCTGAAGAATCACAGTCGTGACTGGATGAATAGCTTCCTGGCCCCGTGTGTCAACATCCATCACACAGTAATTGAGCCAGGAAGCCTTCATCCCACCCATCCCCATTTATTTGGGCCTCTGTTTTCCCACCTGCAAGATGGGACTTCTTTTGTCTCTGAGTTACTCAGTAGAAACAACCTCAGAAATATGAAGCTCTTTCTATATGTCCCTCTCTTAAAAATATATAAAAAGGAAGTCCCCTGAGCCCTAGAGCCAGCTGATTTTCCCCAAGAAGGTTGTTTTTCAGTTCCTGCGGTGGGACTCTCAGAGAATGAGTTCTTCCCTGCTTGCTGACTGGGTTTCACACACCTGCGTACATCACCCTGATAGGTGAGAACATGGGCTCGCTGCTGTCCCAGGGATATAATTTACCAGGGAGGAAGGATATGACCTGCTCCCAGTGAACCAGACACTTGTTTCGTATGCATGGTGCCCTGTGGGGCTCTTCCTCAGTATAGAGTAACCAGAGGGGCTGAACCGTGGCCTGACCCATAAACAGACAGAGGAGAATTTGCACAGTAAATAGAACCAGCTGGGAAAATTGATGCTGGTATAAATAATACATGGCAAATCTAGTCTTTTATACAGAAATTCATTGCTGGTGGCTCTAAGATGCAGTGTAATTACACCTCTCGTCCTGCCAGCTGTACCACAGCCTCGTGTCTTAGTGAATAAAATAACCCCCTGTCTGTTACCAACACTGTGGCCATCCATCTGAGAGTCGTAACTCTGGCTCAGAGGGGAGGATGGTACCAGGGAATGGAAAATAAAAGATGGAGTAAAGAAATGATCAGGATTGTTTACGGACCACATTTTTTACAGGAAGGTCACGCTTGGTTAGAGAGCCTGTTGTATAATTAGTTGTGTCTTAGCTGCAGAAAACTGGACCAGAGTTACAAAATCTGATATTTAGAGCCAATGCGATGGCTCAGCAGATAGAGATGCTTGCCTCCAAGCCTGACAACCTGAGTTCAAACCCTGAATCCCACACAATGGGTTGACTCCTGCAGGTCGTCCTCTGACCTCCGCACGTGCGTGCCCTCACACATGATGATAAAAATGTAATAAGGAAAATATGCTGGGCATGGTGGCACGTGCCTTTAATCCTAGCACTAGAGAGGCAGAAGCAGGAGAATCTCTGTGAGTTCAAGGCTAACCTGGTCTAGAAAATGAGTTCCAGGACAGCCAGGGCTCTGTTACACAGAGAAACCCTGATGGGTGTAGCAGGATAGAAGCAAACATAAAGGGTGGAGAATGAGTACAAGGAGGTCATTGTTTGTTTGAAATTAGACAAAATGTGTAATACCTACTGGATGCTGTGCTTGATGGTCTCAAGTCAGGAAGTTGAGCTTTCTGAGACTGGAGGTGGGGGAGGGGGAGACAGGGGACTGGGGAGATCCATGTATTATTGAAGCTGCTTTCCATAGCAAGTAACGAAATCCCACTTAGAGAGGCATCAGTGATAAGGAAGATCACTCATCCCTGATAACGTGAAGCCAAGGTTGGTTGATGCAATGGCTCAACGGCCCAACGTGGAGAAGCCGAGAGCCTTTCTATCTCCGTCCTCGATTCTCTGTGTTGGTTTTGCCTTCAAGCTTGTTGCCCTTATTAAAACCTGGCTGTACCCTCTGGACATTAATCCAGACATGACAGTATCTACGGGCAGGAAAGGGATCACCCCCTTGTGTCCTTTAAAGAACAAGGAGAACTCGAGCTTCCCCCTACTGACTTCTGACCTGCTTCCCACCTCATTGATTCTGAACTGCCTCCTGCCCTGTGTCTAGTTCAGTAGTGGGAAAGGAATGGTGCCTCAGTGGTGGGCTCAGACCAACCAAGAAGCAGCTATGGAGTTGAGGCTCGGGCTTAGCTTTCAAATGGACTGGAGTAGGGGACGGGTTAGACAGTAGGCGAGTCTGTCCTGGCTTGTGTGTATGCTCAGCACTTAGCACCCAACTCACGGTGGGCTTAGGACAAGCTGAGTGGCACTGGCAATCCCTTCATCTTGCAGACTAAATGGAACTCACTGAGGTTTTAGGACATGTATCTAGTAAGTGGCAGCCTGGGAGTCAAAACTTTAATCCATTCGATGCTAGGCTTTCTTTTTTCTCAACCTCCTGCTGCCTTCAGCTGTAAATATGTAAATATTTTAACAAAATCCCCTTTCGTATTTTGCCCCAGAAGCGGAGGCTATGCATCTCAACCCCTTTTCAGCTGAGCTCACTGATAAAAAGCTAGATCACAGATCCACTTTCTCAGCTCGTCCCGATTTCCCCCAGGGAAGAGGGAATGACAAACACTCCAGAGAAGGCAGATATCGTGTGCGCGCGCAAGAGCGCTGAAGGGTTAGAGGGGAATAAAGCTGAATGAAAAACAGCAGGCTCTGAGCATGCCTGAGATGTGAGCCGGGAGGAGATAAGGGATTCAGATGCACGCTAGGCTTTCACTGTGTTCTGGCATGGAGGTGTCTGGGTAGAGTTTCAGCTGGCCAATTCTCTGTGCTGGTCATGTGTACAGCTGGAATTAGAACGAGGTACATTACTCCCTATAAATATGTATATAGCGGTACTATACATGTGTGCATACACATGCACACAATACATATTGTGGTGGTTTAAATAAGAATGACCCACATAGGCTCATATATTTGAATGCTTAGTTATTAGGGAGTGAAACTACTTGAGAAGGATTGGGGGTGTGGCCTTGTTGGAGGAAGTGTATCACTGAGAGTGGCCTTTGAAGTTTCAAAAGCTCATGCCAAACCCAGTACCTCTCTCTTCCTACTGCCTGTGGGTCCAGATGTAGAACTCTCAGCTACTTCTCTATTTTTATTTTTTTATTTTCTTTATTATTATTATTTATTTGTTTATTATGTATACAATATTCTGTATGCATGTATGCCTGCAGGCCAGAAGAGGGCACCAGACCTCATTACAGATGGTTGTGAGTCACCATGTGGTTTCTGAGAATTGAACTCAGGACCTTTGGAAGAGCAGGCAATGCTCTTAACCTCTGAGCCATCTCTCCAGCCCCCATTATTTAGTTTTTTGAGACAGGGTTTCTCTGTAGTTTTGGAGCCTGTCCTGGAACTAGCTCTTGTAGACCAGGCTGGCTTTGAACTCACAGAGACTCGCTTGCCTCTGCCTCCCGAGTGCTGGGATTAAAGACCTGCGCTACCACTGTCCAACTCAGCTACTTCTCTAGCACCATGTCTGCCTGTGTGCTGCTTTGCTCCCCACCATTATGATGATGGACTAAATAAACCTCTGGGCCTGTTAGACAGCCCACAAACGAATGTTTTCTTTCATAAGAGTTGCTTTGGTCCTGGTAGGCATGGTGGTGGCACATGCCTTTAATCTCAGTCACCCAGGACCGTTGGCCTAGAAGAGTGGAATCTTGGATTTGTGACCAAGTATCCACATAGTGCTTACAATTTATGTAGCTAGTTGTCTTAGTAAGGGTTTCTATTGCTGTGAAGAAACACCATGACCACAGCAACTCTTATAAAGGAAAACATTTATTTGGGGTGATTCACTTACAGTTCAGGGGGTTAGTTCATTATAGCCATGGTTGGAAGCAAGGCAGTATGCAGGCAGACTTGATGCTAGAGCAAGAGAGTTATTACATCTTGACTCACAGACAACAGAAAGTGATCTGTCTCACTGGGTGTAGTTTGAACACAGGAGACTTCAAAGCCCACCCCACAGTGACGCTTCCTTCAACAAGGCCACACCTCCCATTAGTGCCACTCCCTTTAGGGGCCATTTTTATTTCAAACCACTGCATTCCACTCCCTACCCCCCAAAGGCTTCTAGCTAAATCATAGTCCAAATTCAAAAGTCCCCATAGTCTATCACAGTATCGGCGCTGTGTAAATGTCCAAAGTTCAAAGTCTCTTCTGAGATTCATGCAATCTCTTAACTGTAATTCCCTATAAAATAAAAACAAAAAAGCAGATCATATGCTTCCAACATACAATGGCACAGGATATGCATTACCATTCCACAGTGTGGGGAAGGGAGCATAGTGAGGAAATGCTGGACCGAAGCATGACTGAGAACCAGCTGGGCAAACTCCACACTCTGCATCTCCATGTCTGATGTCAAAACGCTCTTCAGATCTCCAACTCCCTCCAGCTTCTCTCTCTTGGGCTGGTTTTACTCCGTTAGCAGCTCTCCTCCGCAGGTATCCCATGACTCTGGCATCTCCAACATCTTGGAGTCTCCAAGGTAATCCAGGCTTCAACTTCGCAGCTTCACAAAGTGGCTTTTCTAGACTTCCATACAGGGATGCCCCTGACACACGCCTGGCCTCTAAGTCACAGAGGCAAATTTCATAACCCCTTTCTTCTATCCTTAACTGCAGAATCATGTTGCCAAAGTTGCCACGTTGTGCTGCTTACTGGGGCTGGAACAAGGCCCCTCATTCTTCACCAACTTTCTGTTTTCGATGGTTTCCTTCACTGCCTAAGCTTGGCTGTCCTGAAACTGGATCTGTAGGCCAGGCTGGCCTTGAACTCAGAGATCTTTCAGTTACAGCTTCACCAGCTTTCTGTTTCCAATGGTTACCTTCAGTGTGTAAGTTTGGCTGTCCTGGAATTTTCTCTGTAGACAGGCTGGCCTCAGACTTAGACTCTGCCAGTCTCTGACTCTGGAGTGCTGGGACTGAAGGCCTGCACCACTACACAGGGCTCTAAGCTTTTCTTTAATTCCTTTTCACAAAGTGGAAATTTAGCTGGGTAATGGTGGCGCACGCCTTTCATCCCAGCACTCGGGAGGCATAGGCAGGTGGATTTCTGTGAGTTTGAAGCCAGCCTGGTCTATAGAGCGAGTTCCAGGACAGGCTCCAAAGCTACAGAGAAACCCTGTCTTGATAAACAAAGCAAACAATAAAAAATTGGAAACTTAACTGGGTGGGATCTTGCCCTGAGGTCATCACTCCCTTTATTCCTTTCTTAATCTGGCCCCATTCCACCTACCAGTGTTTATTTTCTTTCTTTTTTTTTTTTTTTTGGTTTGTTTTGTTTTTCGAGACAGGGTTTCTCTGCGGCTTTGGAGCCTGTCCTGGAACTAGCTCTGTAGACCAGGCTGGTCTCGAACTCACAGAGATCCGCCTGCCTCTGCCTCCTGAGTGCTGGGATTAAAGGCGTGCGCCACCATCGCCCGGCTAGTGTTTATTTTCTTAAATTTTACATTTTGTAATTTACCCAGATCAGCTTGCTCCTTTTCATTATAAATCTTTACATTAGTGTTACCACTAATAACTACACCACAGAGTCTATCCTCAGCTGTTTTGAGATTTTCCTCTGCCAACAGAATTAATCCATAACTCTTCATGTTAGCCTCAGGCAGACTTTTTGGACAAGGGCAAAAGGCAGACATATTCTTCACCAAAATATCACAAGAGTTATCTCTAGGCAACATATTAATATTCTTCTCTGAAACCCCTTGAGCCAGGCCCTACAGTTCAAATAACTCTTAGCACCACTGTGTTCCATGCTCCTACTTGTATGCTTAAAGTATTCCACTGCTTTCCTAACCCAAACTTCCTTCCAAAGTCCATGCTATTCCAAACAAAGACATAGTCCAGCTGGGCAGTGGTGAAACACGTCTTTAATCCCAGTACTCAGGAAGCAGAAACAGGTGGATTTCTGAGTTTGAGACCAGCCTGATCTCCAGAGTGAGTTCCAGGACAGGCTCCAAAGCTACAGAGAAACTCTGTCTTGAAAAAAAACAAACAAACAAACAAACAAACAAAACCATGAACTGGCCTATCACAATGATTCCCCAGTTCCTAGCACCAATTTCTATCTTAGGGTTT